CGCCTTATCTTCTGTTCTTTCAAGAGAAGTTGAGGGTCTGGATTTTGAAAGGGTAGTTTATTTTCTCAACATTGCCAACAAATTTGAGTTTGTAAAAACTTGGACATCTCCAGCAGAAGCAGTGCGTGGCCTAGAGTTGACTTCCAGGTCATTGCCTGTAGCCTGACCCAGCGCAGCCATAGGAGAAAGGCTAGGGAAGGGAGGGGCCATGGCCACATCTTGAATGCTAGCCTGAGGGTGAGCCCTTGCTGAGGAGCTCCCCGGATCCAGAACAGAGAAAGGATGGCGCTGCATGTCTCCAGACTGGGTCTTGTGGATCTGTGCTGTAGATAGGTGGGGAGAGTGGGCTAGGGGGTGGTCCCCACTGGACCCCAGCAAGGTGAGAAGGTACTAAGGGTGTGGACGAGGCCACAGTGCCTAGGTGCCCAGACCCGGTCACAGTGTATAAAGGGGAACTGCTGGGTAACCAGGTCCTGCTATCCCAGAGGTCACCTCCCGGGGGAAGAGGTGAGTGCATGTCCCAAGAGTGAGAAGCAAGGAGCCGTCTCAGGGTGGTTGTATCTGGAGGGTGGTCTCTGTGTAGACACGGAGTGAGGCCAGGGAACAGCTGATGGGAGGAGCTGGTGATTACACCTGGACCTACTGTAGGGCCTAGCCAGAAGGTTATAACTTCAGAGCCAGGACAGGGTGTGCGGAGGGCGTCCCTGGCTCCTAATAGCCCCCCATCTGCCCTGCCATACCCCCAGGAGCCGCTCCCGCTCCGGGGACCGGTACAGGCGGGGTGGCCGGGGTCCCCGGCACCACAGCAGTAGCCGCAGCCGCAGCAGCTGGTCCCTTAGCCCGTCTCGCAGTCGCAGCCCGAGCCGCAGCCGCAGTCCCAGTCCAAGCCGCAGCCGCAGCCAGAGCCGTAGCCGCAGCCGCAGCCAGAGCCACTCGCCATCACCCCCGAGGGAGAAGCTGACCAGGCCGGCGGCGTCCCCTGCCGTGGGCGAGAAGCTGAAAAAGTGAGTAGGGGCAGGGCGGGGGTGAAGAAAGTGGTGAGCCTCGGGAAGGGTGGCGAGCTCCACTGTTCCCATTTTGAAGAGAGCTTGGTCCTGCCACAGGAGGTTGGAGAGGGATGTAGCTCTGTCATGGGGTTCTGAGTAGTCATAGCCTTGTCTTGGATGAAGGTTCAGGGGACACAGCCCTGTCCTGAGGGATCCAGGAGGGCCACAGTCCCTCCCTAGGGGTGTGTGGGCCCCAGGGCCTTGGCTATCTGGTCTGAGGGCAAAGCCGAGGTGGCAGCTGTCCTTTTCTTCCTCCCAGGACCGAACCTGCCGCTGGTAAAGAGACAGGAGCTGCCAAAGTCAGTAAGAATTTGGAACTCGCCCGTCTAATTCCCGCCAGCAGCAGTGCCCGAGAGCTGGGCCCGGTGGGCCTGCAGGGGGGACCCGAGGGGGGCCGGGAGATCCAGCCCTGAGGTTGAAGCGAGCTGGGAATGCTCTGCTCCGGGAGGTCCGTGTCCCCCTCCCCTCCTCACCATCCACCGGGGCTCCATCTGCCCCCAGGCCTCCCAGCCCCTTGTGGTAGGCGTCTGCGGCTGGTCCCTCGTCCCATTGTGCCCCTGCAAGTCCCAGGCTCTTGATGAGGTGGGTTGTGGGAGCTCCGGACACCCACCCCCTCTCCCACTTCTTCTCCCCCTTCCCCAGCCCAAGCTGACGCCACAGGAGAAGCTAAAGCTGAGGATGCAGAAAGCACTGAACAGGCAGTGTACGTCCCGCCCCTACCTCTGGTCTTCCCCACTCCTCAGCCTTCCAGCCTGGCCTCGGCCCTGCCTTCTCCTGGACAGGCATCAATGAGGTGGCATTCTGGGGAGAAGCTGGTGTGCGTGCTGTTCCGCTGCCACCATGCTCAGGGCCGTGGCCGTCTGGCTTCTCTCGGTTCAGTTTTGGCATCTGGGAGAGGGAGGGGGAGCTTACGAGGGTACCCCTCAGCCACCACATCTCCTTCACCACAGTCAAGGCGGATAAGAAGGCAGCCCAGGAGAAGATGATTCAGCAGGAACATGAGCGCCAGGTAAGGGTGGGAGTGAGGGGTGGGGGCGGGGTGGGGTGCCAGCCGGCCCACCCTCACAGCCATCTCTGCCACAGGAGCGGGAAGACGAGCTTCGAGCCATGGCCCGCAAGATCCGCATGAAGTAAGACCATCATGCTCCCGTGTCTGGGCCACAGCCCATCATTTCCGGGTTGCCCACCGTTGCCCATCACTTGGCTCATAGCTAGAACTTCGCTGCTTGCTCTGCCCTCAGGGTGGGAGAAAGTCCAAGTGTCTGTCTGGGCCTCTGTCCTCCACTTGCCCACTCCAGCTGCTGTGGCCCCTCCCAGCTGGTGCCCCAGGTGCTCGGGGCCTCTGCTCTTCTCCTTCCTGGCTTCACTCATTGAGGACCTTCCCTGGCTGTCCTGTCTAGAGTAGCACCCCAGAATGCTGTCCTCTAAGCCTGCTGTGTTTCCTTTGGAGTGCTGACCCCTTTCTGGCTCACACCATTTTGTTTCCTCACTTACTGTTGAGGTCTCCCCAGAGTGGACGAGAGGGCAGGCCCGTCTGCTGGGATCCTGCTGTGTGCTCAGCCGCCTGAACAGAGGTGGTGTTCAGCAAGCCAGCCCCGTGGCAAGTTCTTCCTAGCGCAGGGAGATGGGCTCCTCTCTTCTGCCCTTCTGTTTCTCAGCTTTTCCCTCCAGAGCAGACAGGCCTACATCCTGGATCAGGTGGACGTGGAATCTGGTCCCAGCTCTGCCTCTCTGTGACCACGGCCCCCGGGGTGGGCACTGGTACTCTTAGGCCTCACTTTGTGCTCTGCACCCAGGATGGACCTTGGTGACAACCTCACAGGGCAGCTCAGGAATGAGGGCTCGGATATCGTGGGCCCCTTCAGGACCAGTGGGCAGAACTGGGGGCCTGAGTGCTCAGTGCTGACAAGGAAGGGAATCCATGAGTGGCCTGGCCATGTCACCGGTTGCTTGTTTTGAGTCCTCAGGAAGGCAACTTCTTCCCCTGAGCTGAGACTCCTTCCTCTGTAGGGCTTCCAGCATGGTGCCTAGCATGTCAGAAGCCTGCTGGTTGTATTTGTCACCATTTTTGCTAATTGCCTCCCATCGTGTGTTGGGCCTCTGAGGATGCTGCCTGCTTCCATCATTGCTCCAGGACTCAGCATCATGGTTGGTCAGATCTGAGTTCTGGTCCTGCCTCTGCTGTCCACCAGCTGTGGGCCTTTTTGTCTGGACTTCAGTCTGCTTACCAGCTAAACAGGGATGGAATAGTTTGTTCCACCTCACAGGCTTGTTGGGTGAATTTAGTCAGATCAGGGTCAGTCGAGCAGAAGGGGCCCAATAAATACAGCCCTTGGGGTCGTGAGCGCCAGGCATTCTGACAAAAGCTGATGAAGTACTTAGTGTGCGCGTCCCTGTGTTTTGAGAGCACCTGAGTGTGACGGGGAAAAAGATCGAACTTTCCAGCTTGATCCATTATGTTTGTTCAGCAGGCCTTACGAAGCGAGGCTGAGATTCCAGTCCTGGCTCTGCCCAGCCTGTATCCCTGAGCCCAGTGCTTGCTCTCATTTCCTAGCAAGGATAGGGGTACTACCTGCCCCTGGGTTTACTCTGCAACTTAGACTGGGATGTTGGAAACACCTGCTCTGGGCAAGCAACCCGTCCATGCCAAGTTTTATGTTGCCACATGCTGATGCCTGCCTTTCCCCCTGCAGGGAGCGGGAACGCAGAGAGAAGGAGAGAGAAGAATGGGAACGCCAGTACAGCCGGCAGAGCCGCTCACCCTCCCCCCGCTACAGTGAGTATCCCCACGGTCATTCATAATCAGGCTACAAAGATCCCTGGCATGTTTTCCACGTTGCCTACCTCCCAATCAGTTAAGACTCTCATGACCCACACACTTGCTTTAGTCACAAGGGAACTGTGGGTATTCGAAGCAGTGCTCATTGCCACGCATCGGTGCGGGCTGAGGGGACTGGCTGGAAGCACAGGAGTTGCCTCAGCTAGAGGCAGCCCCAGAAGTCCCACCCCAGAGCCTGGCCCCTGGGCATTTATTTGCTTTGTTCTCTTTTCTTTCCAGGTCGAGAATACAGTTCTTCCCGAAGGTAAGCCAGCCCAGTTCCCTGAAGATGACCTTGTCCCTGCCCTGGTTCTTCCATCTCCACTGTGTTCCCCTCCAGTCGCACAGGCTGGTCTCATCCCTGGTTAACATCCCTCCCTCTGCAGCTTGCTCGCCCATCACCAATGCCCGTGGTCACGAATGTGTTGGTGTATGTGTGTGCACGTGCATGTGCATGCACAGCATGGCTGCTTCTACCTAGCCCTCATGGGGGGTCCCCCATTTCTCTCTCCAGGCGCTCAAGGTCCCGATCTCGAAGTCCCCATTACCGACATTAGGCAGAAGCGTGGGGGGGCAGGAGGATGGGGGTGGGGTGAGGGCTCAGGCTGTGATGCTGCTGGTTTTATCTCCAATTAAATAAAATCACTCGTTATTTAATTCCCTTTAGCTGGCCTCCGAGTCATCTGTGTGGTCAGTGTTGGCCAGCCACCAATGGCAGCTGGGGGGGTAGCTGGTTGGCTTCAGGGACAGGAGCCAGTGGTAGTAGCCTATGTGGCAAGTCCTGCCCATCCGTAGGTGTCTTGGTGGCAGCTCCTTGTTGGTTAGCAGGGTTCCTGCTGCAGCTCAGTGAGGGCAGGGGCCGCGTGGTGGGGAAGGGCCCAGCACCTAGCATGTGGAGGATGGCCCAGGACTCTGCCCAGGGGCCTCTGGTGACAGGTCCAGGCTTCTCCCCGCCCTCGCCTCGGCCCCTGCCCCGGCCTCGCCCACACTGGGAACCGGGAGCACAGCTTTCTGTGCCAGTCTTGCCGTGCCTGGGGCACTGGGGGCCGGCCTTGCCCCTCACCCCAAACCGGTCCGTCCAGCCGTCCACCCGCCCCACCTCAGATACCCCAAGAAAGCCAGAGTCCAAACACGCGTGTAGCTAGGCGGGCAGATTTACTTGCAGCAGAGAAAGGACAAGGAGATGAATGAGCGGCAGCCCCAGTGGTACCAGGAGCGGCAGGGAGGGTGTGCCCAAGGCTCAGGCCTCCCCACCCACCTCGGGGTGCTTCTGCCGCAGGTGTTTGTCCAGGGTGGCCCGCAGGCCGAAGGGCACACAGCAATGGGGACACTCGAAGCGGGGGCTGCCAGGCCCCAGGCCATGCATGCGGCGGTGGCGATTGAGCTTGCTGCTCTGGGCACAGGCATAGGAGCAGAGCTCGCAGGAGTAGGGCCGCTCGCCCGTGTGGGAGCGCCGGTGCACCGTCAGGTTGCTGCTGTTGGTAAAGTGCTTCCCACAGAACTCACAGCTGCCCCCAGGCCCGCGGCTCTTGCCCACCGGCTTTGGCATCTTCTTTGGGGACAGCTCGCTCTTGGCAGGTTCAGTTCTCTCTTCCTTGGTGTTAGGTCCCCAGCTGGCCCCACCAGGGCCTACTTGAGCCCCACCGCCGGGAGCCCCCGGTTCCTGGACGCCTGCAGTGGCAGCAGCCCCGGCACCCTCCCCGCCTCTACCACATGGGAGGGTGCTGGCTGGGGCTGCAGCATGAGCAGCTGGCTCAGGAGGGGCAGTGGCAGAGGCCTGTTCCTGACTGGCTTCAGCCCTGCAGGGGCTCTGGGACTGGGGCTGCCGGTGGGTCTTCTTGTGGCGGTTGAGCTTGCTGCTCTGGGTACAGGTATAGGGACACTGGTCACAGGCATAGGGCCGCTCGCCGGTGTGTGAGCGCATGTGCACCTTGAGGTTACTGAAGGAGCTAAGGGTCTTTGTGCACACAGGGCAGGTGGGGCTCCGCCTGGAAACAATGCTCATTCGGGGGCCCTGGGCCTCTGCTTCAGGCCCCACCACGGCCGACACAGCAGCAGCCACCTCGGCCAGGCCCAGTAGTGGGGCCTCTGGGGCCTCAGCTTCCGTCTGGTAGATGGACAGTCCGTGGTCCCACTGGGCATGGCGCAGCAGTTTCCAGGCCCCCGTGAACTGCCTCCCACAGCGGAAGCAGCTCAGGGCCTTGGGGTCCTTGCGCTCTGCAAAGAGAAGGGCTGGCTGTTAGGGAGATGCATGAAAGCAGAAGTCCCACTCGCACCTGCCAGTTGGCTGCCTGCTGCAAGAACGGCCCTGTTCCAGGGGCTGAGAATGCATTCCCGGTCTTCAGAAGCTGAGGTTCAGAAGTGAGTGGACAGACTAGTGAGAAAAACCTGTGGAGTGGATGGGGACTATCTGGGGATCCTTTCTGTGTTGGAAAATCTTCAAGAAAGTGAAAGCAGAGTGGGGGGACAGAGGAGTGCTATTTTCTAGCAGAGATGGGGAGTGGAGGGGGTTAGGACGGCCTTACTGGAGACTGGACCAATCTCCCCATGCTGGGCACCAGCCATCACCCCGCCACTCATTCCACTTTTCACCTAAGCGAGAAATAAAACCTCTCATTTTCTTCCAGATGGGAAAACAGGCCGAGATGTTTCCCCCAGGTCACAAGCTTGGAAAGGTGGAGTTGGGGGTTCAGCCCACAGACCCAGAGAGGGCAAGACAGGTTTTCAGGAAAGATTGCTGGCTTGATTACTGAGCGGGTTTCTGTGCAAGGCTCCCAAGTTCATGGGTCCCACGCAGGGTCTCCTGTTACCTACTTTGTAGAAGAGGGGGCCAAGGCCCAACAAGTGGGGAGAAGCCCTAGCAGCCACCCAGAGGTCGGGGTGGGTCAGTAAAGGTAGGTCCCCCTGCACAGACCTCAAATTAAAAACCCCCCACAAACTGGATGTTTTTAGACCTTCCAAGTACTCCCAGTAAAGCATTTGCCTTTACTTTTCAAATTCTAGCCAGTCTGGGAAGGAGGAGGCTTTCCTGATCCAACACCAGGGGCAGGAGCACAGATGGGAGCTGGTGGGTGTCAGCCTGGCCTGACCTCTCCCGTTCCCTAGCTGTGTGACCTTGGGTGAGAAACACTCTTCTCTGGTCCTCAGGTTTCTCATGTGTTAGAATATGGGGCCCCCAAAGATCCTGTCCTTTCTAGGGTTGCCTGTGCGCCCTCAATAAACAGGAGCTGAGCTCACGTGGTTGAGGTGCCCACAGGGCTCCAAGTCCAAGCACCTGGGAGTGTTCCAGTGATTCCATCAAGGCCCCTCCCCAGGCCACCAGACCACCTGCTGGCTTCAAGTCTACAGCTGATTCTCAGCCCCTCCCCCTGCCCCACTACAGACCCCCCCCCCCAACCACCCCCAGCCCAGGCCTAAATAGAATTCCATTTCCCAAAAATCCTGGGAGCACATGGGCCAGGGGATGGAAATTTATAGGTTTGGAGGAGCCTCAGCCTGTGATGACCAAAAGCTCACCACGAGTCTAGCACCAAGTTAAGGGCTCATTCCCTCCCAAGGGAAGGAACCCAGGTGTCCAGACACCCAGGACCTGGCCCAAACCAGGGGCTTCCCAGCATGCAGGGCTGGGAGATTCCATCAGAGAGGAAAGCCAGAAGCCCCTTCCGGGGCTCTGAGCGAATGCACTAGCTCCTCAATCAGAAGCAATCAAGAGGTGGGAGGGGGCAGCATGCCGCTTCCAGTTGTCCTCAGCTTCCCCTCCCCCAGGCTGCTGCCCTCCCCAGAGGTCCCCCTACTGCCACACTGGTCCAGCCACCTGGCCAGTTATTTCTGGCCATGGGGAAGGAGAAGTGAAACCAGATTGGGGGTGTGTGTGTGTGGCAAATCCCCAGACCAGGCTTCAGGGGCTGGCCACACCCTGTGGGCGGCCCTCCTCCATGCCCAGCCTCCACCCCCACCCACCCCGCTCACCACTAGTCCCAGCCCTAGGACAGGGCAGGCCCTGGCCACGCCTAGGCTGCACCCGAAGGGGAGCGAGAAAGGGGAAGTAGTGTTCACTGCCCCGCCTGTCCAGCTCAGCCCCTTCTCCCACAGGAAGCCGGGCCCTTGAACTTGAGAGGGGGACTGCATCCCGGCTTGACTCACCTGAGCCCTGGCAGGGGCTGGGGCCTCTAAAAAGCTGACAGTCCAACTTCTTGTGGTCCATGAAAGCAGTGATGGCCTCCAACGGAAAGGTCTGCAGGCAACGGCCGCAGGTCAACAGATCTGGGTGTTTGTCCGTCCAGGGCTGGCGGTCTGCTGGGAGGAAGCGGGTGGTAAGCGTGGGGTGGGGCCAGGATGGGGGCTGGGGGTGCCGACGGTGAGGGAAAACCCAAAGGTCAGAATGGGGGCTGGAGGCCGGGACCAGGCAGGAGAAATAAGGCCGGGCCGGGGTAGGGGGTCGGGGGTCGGAGCCTGGAGGAGGGCGCCCCCGCCCCAAGTGAAGCGGGAGGGAGGCGGGGCAGGGGCAGGGGGCGCTCACCGCGAGGGTTGCCGATCAGTGGCGTCCACAGCGCCCACTGGTTCCGCGCGCCGAGGGCGTGGAGAGGGCTCCCGGCGGGCACGGGCTCGGGCCCGGGGGAGTGGCGGGCTTCGCCGTCGAACCGCCCCGGCGCGGCGCGGGCGCGGGCACTTCCTTCGGGGAGAAGAGCCCCAGCCCCGCGGCCTGCAGGGGCCGCGCGTCTGGCTCGGGCTTCACTTCGATGACGAGGTCCGGCATCTCCATCTCGTCGTCGGTGCTGGAGGCGGGCGCGGGGTCGACTCGGCGGGGCGTGCAGCCGGCCTTGCGGCGGGACATGGGTCGCGGGCCGGGCGGGCTGGCGGGCGGAGGACGCGAGGGCCGTGCGCTCTCAGACCGTGGCGCTCAGGTGAGTGACTGCGGCGACCCGCGGCGAACTCTTACACGTGCTGGCCCGGCCCGTGGCTCCGCCCCCGGGGGCGGGGCCTGACGGGAGAGGCTGGGGCGGCCCCGCAGGGGCCCCCGGCGGCAGCCCGGCTTGATCAAAGCCGAGCCCACCGCATTTTCTTAGGGACCAAATCTTAATGACGCCCAGGTCTCACTACCACGCACACAAACTGCTACTTCTGATTCCGTTTTAGGGGCCGGTGCAACTAAGGCGCACGGTGCCCACGCACACTCCCGGCTAGAGAGACAGAACAGTAAGGGCCACGTTTCTCCCTGGGCGCCTATGAGTAATCGGGACTGTTCCATTAAATGCATTACAATAAAAATCCAGTGGACAAACATTTTTTGAGCATTTACTGTGCACTGGGTTCTGCTCTAAGCACTGGGGATATAGCTGTGAACAAGACAGAAAATAAGAGGCACCTGAGTGGCTCAATGGTTGAGCATCTGCCTTCAGCTCAGGTCATGATCTTGGGGTTTTGGGATCCAGCCCTGCATCAGGACCCTGCAGGGAGCTGCTTCTCCCTCTGCCTATGTCTCTGCCTCTCTCTGTGTGTCTCTCATGAATAAATAAAATCTTTAAAGAAAAGAATCCCTGGCCTAACACAGTTTATTTCTGAGGGAGACAGGCTCAAAGAAGTAACTGCAAAACTTGGAGTGCCTTCCAGGATGACAAGTTGCAATGGGGCTAAATAAATCAAGGAGGGATTATAAAGGGTTACTGGGGTCGAGTGGGGAGGCTCACTTTTCTCCAGGGTAGAACATGGTGGAATTGAGACTTGAGGGAGGTGAGGGGACCAGCTAGCCTTGTGTGTTCAAGAATAACAAGGAAGGGGGGAGGGCATGGGTGATTGAGTTTTGTGAGAAAATGAGATCAGACCCAAGAGGGTCTTTTGCCCACTTTAAAATCTTCAGTTTTCTGAGACCAGAGCCTTGAGGGATAGTTTAAGGCCAGGAGGGTTGAGATCCTATAGATCCATCTGCTCTGCTCCAAAACCTGGAATCACCATTAAAAGCAAACAGGCAACTGTGTCACCTCCCTCCACGGGGGCCTCCTTGAACTTCCCTCCGCAAAGCAGCTCAGTTCTGATCACTGTTTGAAGTGGCATCGACACCCTGCCCCACCCTCCAACCCTTACAAGTTTTTTTTTTTTTTTTTCTTCCTGGCACTGGCCACATCATAACATAGACCTATTTGTTGACTGTCCTCTCTCCCCTCTCCACCCCCACCGGACACAAGCCCCCTGGTCTGTCCTCCCCAGCGTCCCCAGCCCAGCTCCCAGTGAACTTCACATGCTAATCTCTCCAGAGTACTGCTCCAGGCCAGAGGGTTCCTCATATTGTTATTCAGAGCTGAGCTCAATTATCCTCCCGAGAGCACTGACCACTGTATCTAATGTAGCCCCACCCTGCTGAAGGCCTTGCACCATGACCTCCATCTGTCCTCAATTCTTTCCTGGCTCTCAGCTTCCCCATCTACCATCAAAGGGGGCTTCTTCACAGCCACCTCCTTTGACCACCCAATTTTTTCTTTTAAGTTTATTTATTCGTGAGAGACACACAGAGAGAGGCAGAGACATAGGCAGAGGAGAGCCTGAAGCGGGACTCATCCCAGGATCCTGGGATCATGACCTAAGCAGAAGACAGACGCTCAACCACTGAGCCACCCAGGTGCCCTGAGCGCCCAACCAACTGTGCCACTTGTTACCCTTATTTTATTCCTTTTATTTTATCACTCATCGCAAGCCTTGAAGGATCTGGCTGAGGTATTTGCTCATGTATACCCTCTATGTGCCCCTCCCGGCCCTCCTTAATGATGTAGGTCCTAAGAGGGCAGGAGGTAAGGTTGGCCTCGTTCACAGAGATTCTCCTTGTTCATAGTTCAGTTAACAAATGTGTAGGGCACCTGGGTGGCTCAGTGGTTGAGCATCTGCCTTCGGCTCGAGTCGTGATCTCGGGTCTTGGGATCCAGTCCTCCATCAGGCTTCGTCCAGGGAGCCTGCTTCTCCCTCTGCCTCTCCCATGAAAAATAAAAAAATATTTAAAAAAACAACAACCAAAAAACAAATGTGTATTGAGCCTTCTGCTATGCACAGGCTCTCAATAGAGGCCGCAGAGGGCCTGTGTGCCAGGCACAAGGCCTGGGGGGCTCTGGTGGGAAGTGGAGGGCCCACCAAGCCTCTATCGTACTGAAAAAGTGTGGAAGGAAGGAATTCTAATCCGAGCCCCGAAGACCCACGTTCCAAAGCACTGGAGGCCAGACATTGCATCCTTCAAGGTCTGTTTCCCCCTTTGTGAAACGGGGCTGCAGGGAGGACTGCGAGGCAGAGCGGCCGCCGCGGTCCAGCCCCCAGCCCCGGCCCTCTGCGAGCCTCTCTTCCCTCCGTGTGCTGCGCGGCGGGCGCGGGTTTCCAAGGCGGGGAGCGGGGGTCCCGGGCGCAGGTGAAGGGCAAGGGCATGCACGTGGAGGGGGAGGGGGCGCAAACCCCCGAAGCTCCGTCCTTAGCTCAGCGCGCGGAGGACGTCCTCCGGGTTCTGAACCTGTTTCTTCTTCCCTAAGGCGGGCATCCCGGCCGGCCCCACCTCGCAGGCCGGCGGTGCGGACGGAGGCGACGGGCCAGGTGGCAGGCGGGTGGGCGCGGGGCCGCGCGGGCCTCGGAGCGCGGGAGCCCGCCCGGCACCACGTGGGGCGGCGGCGGCGGCGGGGCGGGCGGAACGCAGGCTGGGCGGCTCGCGGCCCGCCCGGGCCCTGCAGCCGGGGCGCCGGCGGAAGTGGGAGCGCGGCCGTCGCGGACCGCGGTGAGTGTCGGGGTGTCGGCGGCGGGGCGCGAGCACCGCGCGGTGCTCTCCCTCTCCCGGGGCCGCGGGCGCGTTCGGGGCCCCGCGCGGCCGCCCCGGGACTCGGGGCGGGGACCTTCCCGCGCCTCCCGGCGCTCGGGGGCGAGGATCGCGGCCGCCGCCCCGGCTTCCCGCTCTGGCGGGACGGCGTCGCGCGCGGGGCTGAGCCGCCAGGACCCCCAGCCCAGGCGGCGCGGGGGCCACGGACGCCTGGGGGCCCGGAGGACCTACTTAGTATAAGAAAAGGCCAGCCTGTGGGTGGCCAGGGCGGAGTGGAGAGGAACTGACCGGCGGGGGGCGGGGGCAGACGGGAGGGGAAGGACGCGGGGCTGGGGGTTCCGGGGTGTGTGTGTGTGGGGGGGGGCGACCGGTCAGCACTTTGGTTAATTCGCCGAGCTCTGTTAACCTGGCAACTCATCTAGTTCCCTCCCCTGGCAGATGTTTGTCCCCTGAACTGATCATTGCCATTTTCTTGGAAGTCCGCACTGAGGCCGCTATAAGGGAGGTCTGCAAATCTCCTGCCCTTGCTCATGACCCAAGTGATGAGCTCTGGAGTCTTAAGTATTCGATTAACTTTTTTTTTTTAAGATTTTTTTTTTAATTTTTTTTTTTTTTTTTTTTTTTTTAAATTTACGATAGTCACAGACCAGAGAGAGAGAGGCAGAGACACAGGAAGAGGGAGAAGCAGGCTCCATGCACCGGGAGCCCGACGTGGGATTCGATCCCGGGTCTCCAGGATCGCGCCCTGAGCCAAAGGCAGGCGCCAAACCGCTGCGCCACCCAGGGATCCCAAGATTTTATTTATTTATTCATGAGACACACACACAGAGGCAGAGACACAGGCAGAGGGAGAAGCAGGCTCTTTGCGAGGAACCCAGTGTGGGACTTCATCCCAGGACCCCAGGAGCACCACCTGAGCCAAAGGCAGATGCTCAACCACTGAGCCACCCAGGTGCCCCTTGATTAGCTTTTCAAGTAGTGAGGGATGGGCCTGGACATTTTTCTGAAATCCTCTTGAGGGAAATCCTTGGCCTGGAGACTGAAAGGATAAAGGATTCTGAAGCCTGGTCACCAGGGAGCATGGATAACGCCTGCTTTTGCCTTCTTGGGCACACCCTAGGTGACCTTTCCTATATCCATTCTTTATCAGATCACACCTTGGTTCCAAAAGCTCTGGTGGCCCTCCAGTGCTGGCGGGGGAACAAATCTTTCCTGCTGAGGGCAGGGGTGATGGCCTGGATCTGTTGTCAGGCCAACCTGGGTTTGCTCCCTTTTCATACTACCCAGACAGCTTGCACCCAGTAAGTGATTTGCCATTTCTCAGTTCTAGTTTCCTCCTCCAGAAAATGGGGATTGGGAATCACATGGCAGGACCCGTCCCTGTTTGGTTTCCCCTAACAGAGAAAGCAAGTCTGTACACTGGTCCACCCTTACTTTTGTTTCATCCAGGGATTTAACATAATTTGTGACCGTTTCTTTGTTCAGTACTAGCCCTAGAGACTAGGGTGTTTCTCTTAAATCACTCAAGTGTTAACCTAGGTTGGGTGAAAACCCTGGGGGCCGATGACTCTTAGTAAGGTTGGATTGCAGTGGCCAGGTAAATTAGAAAATGTGTATATCCTTTAATCCCATTTACAGTGGTAGTGGTCAAATAAAGAAAATGTATATTGTACCCACTAAACTAATATAGCAGTGTGTATTAACTAACTGGAATTTAAATAAAAATGTAGGGATCCCTGGGTGGCTCAGTGGTTGAGTGCCTGCTTTCAGCCCAGGGCATGATCCTGGAATTCCGGGATCGAGTCCCATATCGGGCTCCCTGCATGGAGCCTGCTTCTCCCTCTGCCTGTGTCTCTGCCTGTCTCCGTGTGTCTCTCATGAATAAATAAATAAAATCTTTTAAAAATAAATAAAGTAAAAATGTAAAAAAAAAAAGAAAAAAAGAAACATGTATATATCCCATAAATCCCGTTTACTGTGGTCTTCCCCGTCAGGGAAAACCCGGAGAGTCTGCCTTGGTTCTCCCCTCAGTCCATCAGCAAATAGTGAGGGCTTTTGACCTTCAACAAACCCTCGTCTGATCACTTTTCCCCACCTGCGCAGTCCCCGCCCTGTCCCAGGCACCCTCCTCTGCCTGCCTGGGCCACCGCAGTGGCTTCCTGCCTGGGCTCCCTGCTTCTCCCTTGTCTCTCACAGTCCGCTGTCTCCTGTCTCCGTACACAGGCAGGAGGATCATGTGAAATTCGAAGCCACGAGGGATGGGCTATCCCTCTTCTGCTCAGAACCCATCCCCTGGGTCCTGTGTCACTCAGAGTAGAGAGCCAGGTCTTGGCATCAAAGCCTCTCCCTGCACAATCTGCCCTGCTCCCCCCTCCTCCACATTGGCTGGCCTCCTTGCTTTGCTTCAAAGTCACAGGCTTCTGTGGCCTTTGCATTTGCTGTTCCCGCTGGCTGGAATGCTTTCCCCCTCAGATCTCTACATGACTCTGTTCCTCCTTCCTTTTGGGCCTGTGCTCAAGTACAACACCCTTGCTGGCCAGCTATCTCTTGCCCCCAGGCCAGGTCAGGCCAGGCAGCCCCTCGGGCACCTGAGGCCCCTAGCCTCGTAGTTCATTCCAGCCCTGCCCACCCTGGGTCAGCATTGTCTGGAGACAAGTCTGTGTCACCCACTGAACTGTGACAGCAAGGCCAGGTTGTTTCACTCAACAGCTGTGACCCCAGCACCGCCGCAGGTGTGCTGGGCATGGAACAGGCCCTCGGATAATGTGAAGGGGTGAATCTTTTCATACCTTCAGCAAATATTTACTGAGCTCCCCCTGTTTGCCAGGCCCTGGGTGGGGCTGGGGGTGGAGTTGGGAAATAATTGGATGTGTCCTTTCTCTCAATGTCGTGTGTTCTGTGGCAGAACGGACATCATGTAGGTAAACGAATGCATATCTTCAGGAGGCAATAGTGCCATGGAGACAAGATAATTCAGGCTGAAGGGGCTACTGTCTTCCTCCCTGTAAAGGGGGATGTTTGGGCAGGGACCGGAGTGAACTGAGGGAGGGTGAGCCATGTATGCAGAAATCGATCGGTCTCCCATCCGGAAGAGGGTTCCAGGAAAGAATGTGCTTGACATGTTCAAGGACAAACAGCATCGAGCAAAGGGTGGAGGGGCAAGATATGAGGTCAGAGAGCTGATAGGGTCTTGTGGCTGTTGTGAGGGCTTAGGCTTTTTGCTTTTGGTGATGTGGGAGCCATGGGAGAGCTCCGAGCAGAGGAGGGGTGTGCTTGGACTTAGTTCTTTTTTTTTTTTTTTTTCGGACTTATTTCTAAGAGGAACCCTGACGGCCGAGTCTGCGTGGGGAGCAGGCTGTAGGGTGAAGGTGGCAGCTGGGGGCCCTGTGGGGAGGAGACTGGTGTAGACCAGGTGGCAGGTGACAGGAGGAGGAGACAGAGTGGGATGGGGGCGGGGGGGGGTGAGGAGTTGCTGGATTCTGGGTACAATTTTGAAGGTGGAGCTCATGGGCCTTTTTGACGGATGGAATGTGGGTGGCAAAGAAAGTGGGGAGGAGGGCAGCCTGGGTGGCTCGTTTAGCACCGCCGTCAGCTGGGAGCATGATCCTGGGGACCAGGGATCAAGTCTCATGCCGGGTTCCCACGTCGTTGGGTTCCCTGCAGGGAGCCTGCTTCTCCCTCTGCCTCTCTCTCTCTCTCTCTCTCTCTCTCTCTCTGTGTGTGTCTCTCATGAATAAATAAATAAAATCTAAAAAAAAAAAAGTAAAAGAAAAAAGAAAGAAAGCGGAGAGGAGTCCAGGACACTGTGAAATCCTAGGAGGTCTTTTTATTTTTGTTATTTTTTAATTTCCATTTCACAGATGAGGAACCTAAGCAGGGAGGCTGCTTGTAGAGTCGCAGTGACCTGCCCAGATCCCTTGTGAGTCTGGAGGGAATAAGAACCACCTGCCTTCCTGAATCCACATCTTCACCTGCTCTGCCGTGGGGTAAGCTCTGGCCTGCCTCCCGGGCTTGTATGGCCCACCAGCCAAGCATGGGTTTTACTTTTTTTTTTTTTTTTGGAAGACCTTATTTATTTATGAGAGACACACAGAGAAAGGTAGAGACACAGGCAGAGGGAGAAGCAGGCTCCCTCTGGGGAGCCTGATGTGTGACTCCATCCTGGGACCCTGGGATCATGCCCTGAGCCTAAGGTAGGTGCTAAACCACTGAGATATTCAGGTGCCCGGGTTTTACATTTTTAAGTGCTTGGAAAAACTTTAAGAGTTTTCGTGTGTGCCTGAAATTATACAAAATTCAAATTGCAGTGCCCCAGTAAGTACGGTTCTAAGGGGGAACAGCCGTATTCATTGCTTTCATATCTGTCTCTGGCTGCCTGCTTGTAGTTGTGACAGACTCTGTAGCCCAAAGCATAAAATATTTACTGTTGGGCCCTTTACAAGAGAAAATTTGCTGACTTCTAGTAAGGATTCAATTTGGGCCACTAGTGGTGCGGGGAGGGGTCTGATCTGTAGGGCTTGGCAGCTTAGACCCTGAGAAAGGTCTGGGCTGAGACAGAAAGTTTGGGGAGTGGGTAAGGATGGGGAGAGGAAGTTCAGATTCCTGAGAGGGAATCTAACATTTTCATTTTCACTTTAGTTTTTTTTGTTTTTTAGGTTTTATTTTAAGTAAGCTCCAAAGACCACCCTATCAAGAGACGCATGCTCTACCAACTGAGCCAGCAAGATGCCCTGGGAAGTTCACAACTTTTCCAGGGACATGGAAGCATTATAATATGCCCCTTTCTTTTTGAAATCAGAATTTAAAAAGATTACTCTGAGGGGGCGCCAGCTGCCTCGATTGTTAGAGTATGTGACTCTTGATCTCAGGGTTGTGGGTTTGAGCCCCATGTTGGGGTAGAGATGACGTCAATAAAATAAAATAAAATCTTTTTTTTTTAAATATTTTATTTATTCATGAGAGATACAGAGAGAGGGAGGCAGAGACATAGCCAGAGGGAGAAGCAGGCTCCATGCAGGGACCCTAATGTGGGACTTGATCCCGGGATTCCAGGATCATGCCCTGGCCCAAAGGCAGGCGCTTAACCGCTGAGCCACCCAGGGACTCCCCCAAAATAAAATCTTTGAAAAAAAAGTTACTTTGAATAGTACAGACTGTAAAAGCCATAACAAGGGGAGCAGCTAAAAGGCCCCTGCTCGGGGATCCCTGGGTGGCGCAGTGGTTAAGCGCCTATGGTTCTCAACTATAGACATTTTTATTTTGTCCCTGCTGGGGACCTTTGGCAAAATATGAAGAACTTTTTTTTTTTTTGGTAGATATCATTTCTTTTTTTTTTTTAATTTTTATTTATTTATGATAGTCACAGAGAGAGAGAGAGGAGAGGCGCAGAGACATAGACAGAGGGAGAAGCAGGCTCCATGCACCGGGAGCCCGATGTGGGATTCGATCCTGGGTCTCCAGGATTGCGCCCTGGGCCAAAGGCAGGCGCCAAACCGCTGCGCCACCCAGGGATCCCGGTAGATATCATTTCTAAGAATGTATCCACTAAATTTTTTCTTAAATTTTTAAACTTTTTTTTTTTTTTAAAGATTTTATTTATTTATTCATGAAAGACACAGAGAGAGGCAGAGACACAGGCAGAGGGAGAAACAGGCTCCATGCAGGGAGCCCGACACAGGACTTGATCCCAGGACTCCAGGATTATGCCCTGGGCCGAAGGCAGGCGCTAAGCCGCTGAGCCACCCAGGGATCCCTTCTTAAAATTTTTAAAAATATTTTATTTATTTATTCATGAAAGACACAGAGAAAGGCAGAGACATAGATCCCAGGACCTCGAGATCACGACCTGAGCCAAAGGCAGATGCTCAACTACTGAGCCACCCAGGTACCCCTTTTTAAAAAAAAATTATTGGGGTAAAGCAAACATAAGCTGTGCCCCTTTATCTACTTATTTGATTTCATTTAATTTTTTTAAAGATTTTATTTATTCATGAGAGACACAGAGAAAGAGAGAGGCAGAGACACAGGCAGAGGGAGAAGCAGGCTCCATGCAGGAAGCCCAATGTGGGACTCAATCCGGGTCTCCAGGATCACACCCTGGCTGAAGGCAGCGCTGAACCGGTGAGCCACCAGGGCTGCCCTCATTTCATTGTAATTTAATTTAATTTAATTTTATGTAATCTCTACCCCCAATGTGGGGCTGGAATTTACAACCCTGAGATCAAGAGTTTCGTGCAAGGGACGCCTGGGTGGTTCAGCGGTTTAGCGCCTGCCTTCAGCTCGGTGCGTGATCCTGGAGTCCCAGGATCGAGTCCCACATCGGGCTCCCTACATGGAGCCTGCTTCTCCCTCTGCCTGTGTCTCTGCCTCTCTCTCTGGGTCTCTTATGAATAAATAAATAAAATCTTAAAAAAAAAAAAAAGATAGTTACATACTACTGACTGAGCCAGCCAGGTACCCCAATATATGGAGAACTTTTTTAGAAAAGGCTTTAGGGGGATCTGGTTGGCTCAGTCGGTACAGCATGGAACTAACTCTTGATCTCAGGGTTATAATTTCAAGCCCCATGCTGGATATAGAGATTACTTAAACAGCAACAACAACAAAAAACCCCAAACAACTTTTTTTAAAAAAAGGCTTTATGAGATATAACTCTCATACCATACTATTCACCAATGGGAGACAGTTTTGGTGGTCACAGCTTGGAGTAGGCGTTGGGGATACTACTGGCATCTAGTGGGTAGAGACCTGGGCTGCTGCTAAAATCCTACACCTCTGCACCTGACAGCCACCCACAACATGACAAAGAGTGATCCTGCCCCAAATATCAACCATGCTGAGGTTGAGAGACCCTTATCTACAGCCTTGGCCCATTTCTCTGCAGGGTCCTTTCTTGCAAGGAGCTCACAGTTGGCTGTAGAGACAGGAAGAGGGTAACAAGGAAAAAGATCATCTCCATCTCCTCCATACCGTGAGCGGCCCAGGGATGGGACACTGGGTGCCTAAAATTTGTCAATTGTTTCAGTAATCACTTTATTTTATTTTTAGTTTTTAAAAGATTTTATTTATTTATTCATGAGAGACACACAGAGAGAGGCAGAGACATAGGCAGAGGGAGAAGCAGGCTCCCTGTGGGGAGCCAGATGTGGGACTTGATCCCTGGATCCCAGGATCACGACCTGAGCCCAAGGCAGATGCTCAACCACTGAGCCACCCAGGTGCCCCAGTAATTACCACAAAGAGGACTAAGCCATAGAGAGGGGTGCAGCTACCTGAAACTTAGACACCCCCCAAGCTTGCTCATAGAACTGGCACTTCCCTATATGCAACCAACATCACAACATTGGCCCTTAATGTGTCCCCACATTAAACACCATATGATTGTTAGGGCATTTAGTCCCCAGGACAACCCCATGCAGTGGGTCCTCTTACCATCCCTATTTTACAGATGGGGAAACAATCTTACCTAAATTTTTCTTTCTTTTTATTTATTTTTTTTTAATTTTTTTTTTTAAGATTTATCCATTCATTCATTTAGAGAGAGCAAGGAGAGAGGCAGAGACACAGGCAGAGGGAGAAGCAGGCTCCACGCAGGAAGCCCGATATGGGACTCGATCCCGGGTCTCCAGGATCACATCCCGGGCTGCAGGCGGCGCTAAACCGCTGCGCCACCGGGGCTGCCCTTTTTTTTTTTTTTTTAAAGTATGTTTTACAAAGGAACAACAGCTTCAAGTGAAAGACTATACCTAACACGTGGAATTTCAAGTGTTTTTTTTTTAATTTATTTTTATTTATTTATGATAGACCTAGAGAGAGAGAGAGAGAGAGAGAGAGAAGCAGAGGCACAGGCAGAGGAGAGGGAGAAGCAGGCTCCATGCTGGGAGCCCGACGTGGGACTCGATCCCGGGACTCCAGGATCACGCCCTGGGCCAAAGGCAGGCGCGAAACCGCTGAGCCACCTAGGGATCCCCCATACCTAAACTTTTCTAGAGAGGCTACCATGTCCCACATGAGCCTGTTAAATCCTGGTAACACGCTGAGGTGGTCATCAGTACCATTTCTCCCTACAACGGAAGAGGAAACTCTCTTCATTCATTCTTCTTCATTCATTCATTCTTCATTCATTCATTCTTCATTCATTCATTCATTCCTGATAAACACCGAGAGAGGCAAAGACATAGGCAGAGGAAGAAGCAGGCTTCCTGTGGGGAACCTGATAGGGACTTGATCCCAGAACCCTGGGACCACGACCTGGGCTGAAGGCAGACACTTAACCACTGAGCCACCCAGGCTGACCCAAGGAAAGTGTCTCTTGCTAAGCTGGTCTGGGAGCTCAGTCTCCCCTCCATTCATTCAAGCAGGAACAATATTTAAGGGGCCTGGTGTCTGTGCCACCACCACACAGTGTTCCAGGAGCTGGAGATACAGCAGGAGGCAAAAAGCCAGGCCGCTGCCCACAGGGAGGCCGGTCTCTAGCAAGGGACAAAGGCCATAAGCAGAATGATATATAGCATGTCAGAAGAGTTCTGTGTGCTGTGAAGAGAGATGAAGCTAAGAGGGGCTGGATGGGATGTACAGGAGGACTTGAAGATAGCCTGCTCCAAGGAGGCAGACAGGTGGTAAAAGCAGAGGGAGTGTCAAGGTGCAAGGGTCTGAGAGGGATTTCGGTGGCAAAGAGGCAGGTGAGGCTGGGTTAGAGAGGGTGCTGGCAGGGTACGGAGCACACAGGGCCATTGACTTTAGCTTTGACTCAGGGTGAGGTGGGAGCCAGGAGAGGGCTCCTAGTGGAGGAAGGATGCAACCTGACTCGGGTGGTAGATGGCAGGTATTGGGTATTAAGCAGGTGCCTCTGGCTGTGTGTGTGGGGAAAGACTTGGGGGTAAGGGGACAGTGAAAGTGGAAGCCAGGGGCCCAGGGAGGACCTGGCTTCAGTAGTCCAAGCAGGAAGTGATGGTGGCTAGACCAGGATGTGGGCAGTGGAGAGAGAGAAGCATTAGGCTCAGAATACATCAACAGGAGTTGATCCTTGAACAACACCGGTTTGAACTGCATCAGTCCACGTATACATGGATTTTTTTTCAATAAATACAGTACAACACTGTAAATGTATTTTCCCTTCTGTATGATTTTTTTCATAAAATTTGCTTTTCTCTAGCTTTTCTCTAGCTCAGGAGGCACATGGGGTCCATTTGTCCTACCCCTGCACATGATGGCTTTGATGCCTGAGTTAAGGTAGTATCCACTGGGTTCCTCCCTTAGAAAGTTACTGTTTACTCCTTATGACAAATATTTTGTGGGGAAGTACTTTAAGACTGTGCATACACTAGACCTCATCCAACACTCATCCACAAATTTTAGTATCCATTGGATTTTAGTTCCTTATGTATTCTTTTATTTATTTATAATTAGCATGGACTCATGGATTTCTATTTTATTCAGTGGGTTATAATTGTACCTATCTTTTTATTTGTTTATTTTTTAAGATTCTATTTTTAAGTAATCCCTATACCCCAGGTGGGGCTCGAACTTACAACCCCGGAGATCAACAGCCCTATGTTCTACTGACTGAGCCAGCCAGGTGCCCCCATGTAACTATCATTGTTTTAATGTTTACATCATTCCAGAGTTGGCCTCTGGAAGCCCTTTTAAGCTGGCTTCTGTGTGACTGGGAATTTATTTGGAAGAGAGCCTCTCCCTATGGGTTAGATGGGCTGTGAGAGAGGAGAGGAGGCAGGAGTTCTCTCTTTCAGCAAATATTTATTGCCAGGGACTGGGTATAAAACACTGATAAAAGCAGTCGAAAGTTTCTGCTTGGGACGCCTGGGTGGTTCAGTGGTTGAGCATATGGCTTTGGCTCAGGGCCTGATCCTGGAGTCCCAGGATCGAGTCCCACGTCGGGCTCCCTGAGTGGAGCCTGCTTCTCCCTCTGCCTGTGCCTCTCTCTCTCTCTCTCTCTCTCTCTCTGTCATGAATAAATAAATAAAATCTTCAAAAAAAAAAAAGTTTTTGCTCAAAATAAAATAAAATAAAAAGAAAGTTTCTGCTCTCATGGACCTTGTGAATGGTGGTAGCAGTTCCCAGGGGAGGGGTTCCTGGTGGAGGGAGGGCATAGAGTTTAGAAGGAGAATCTGGAACTGGGTTTTGGACAAATTGAGTTGAGGACGGACAGACACACCTTTGCTCCCTGCCTCCCTCTCATTTGTAGTCCCACACTCCCACTGTAACAACCTCTTGCTCTTCTTCACCCAACAGCCAGAAGAATGCAGACTCCACTGGCCATTCCTGTGTCTGTGCTCCGGCTCCCCCGGGGTCCTGATGGCTTGAGCCGAGGCTTTGCCCCAGATGGACGCAGGGCCCCCCCGAAGCCAGAGGTTCCCCAAACCCTGGGGGCTCCAGTAGTTCAAGAATCTCGGGAATCCCAGGAACAGCAGGCGCGAGCCGCACTTCGGGAACGCTACCTCCGCAGCCTGCTGGCCATGGTGGGTCACCAGGTGAGCTTCACATTGCACGAGGGCGTGCACGTGACTGCCCACTTCGGAGCCACAGACCTGGACGTGGCCAACTTCTACGTGTCGCAGCTGCAGACGCCGATAGGTGTGCAGGCCGAGGCGCTGCTGCGGTGTAGTGACATTATTGCGTACACCTTCAAGCCGTAAGGATGTTACTAGGTTCACCTTTCTGCTGTGGGCCTAGCCACAGGGTCCCAGCCCTTCACACGTTGGTGGGCCCCATAGAGTTTGGAACTAATTCCCTTGGAATTTTGAGCCGAGCTCCAGCAACTCAGGCTTCTTGGGACCTCCAGGGTCTCGTCAGTAAAATTCCACTGCAACCTCAGGATTTTAGAGCCTGTTGAAATGAAAGCTCTACCTCACAGAACTCTAAACTCTGAAATAGGGCCTCATGGCTGTTCCTGAAGACTGGGGCTGGGGGTAGGTAATAAAAGCAGATTGCAGAATGGAAAATTGTTTTTTGAAGTTGCAGAGTTCAGCCATCCTGAAGGATACTGTCCTCCTACTAAAGAACCGACTTTCCCAGGAAAATTCGCGTCTTGTTCTTTGTTGTTGTTTTTTAAATTGTAGCACACAAGGATGGAGCCAGATTTAGGAAGTGGAAGGGTGGCTGGGCAGGGGCTGAATCCGGTGGATCTGGGCCAAGAAGAGGACACATCAAGGGGCTGGGAGGAGCTCGGGTAAAGGTGGAGATTGGCTTGGTCCCGGAATGGCTGGAGCTACTTGAATGCCGGGTTTGGGACCTTTGGACGTGATTTCTTTCTCGGGGGTGGTGGTGGTGGGAATGTTCCCAGCGAGGGGTTGTAGCCCGTCCCTAGGGTGCTGTGGCCCTCACTCTAGGGACGGCCGGTTCGCTTCTCCGCCGACCCCGGAAGGGCTCGGAGCCGGAGCCTGTGTGGCAGCGCCGCCGAGGACAGGCCGAGGACCGGGGGCTGGGGTGACGCTTCACCCTCTCCACTGCGCTCCAGCCGCTTGGCCGTCCGTATGATTCGCTTCACTTATCCCCATCACTGGTTGTCTTTCAGCAGGTTCGCTTTGTAGCCCCATCAACTTTAGAACGTTCGTTCAAGATCCCTTCAAGCGTAGGTGAGATTTGCTTTGTTCGTCTGCAGTCGCGAAAGCGCGGCGGCCGGAGACGTGGAACCGGGCGGGCGGAGGGCCTCCGCTCCCGCGACGCCGCCTCCAGCGAGCCCCGGGCCTAGCTCTCGGGTTGCCTTGGCAACGACGTCGCTCGCTCCTCCCCGAATCCTCCCGCCCTCTTAATTTTAGCCCCGCCCCCCCAACTGCTGGAGGTGCTAGGAAAGCCTGGCGAAAGTGCGCAGGCGAATATTAAGCGATTAAATTGAGCGGCGGTGGGGGTGGGGGTGCGGTTACAGCTCGTGCGGATTCGCTCCGGGCTTGGGGATTTACCTGCTCCGTCGCCCAATTATTTTGGTTGGCAGATTCGTCTCTTGGTTTGGGGATTTCTTCCCTCTTCCAGTACTTTTTTTTTTTTTTTTAGTAAGGGGTATGATACTCCTCATGGGCTCATATTTATTTTATTCTTTTCATTTAAATTGTATTTCACGCAACGAATACAGAGAACTATTGATGAAATTGCTACCTACAAATGGAGGGCTAGAGAGTAAGTAGTAAAGAGGCACAGGCTTCGTCTCCAGGCAGAGGATCCTTCTGCCAGCATCCATCATCTGTACTCATATATTCAGTATGCCTCCTATCGCCTTTCCTTTCAAGCTCTCTCCTTTTGCATCTCTCCAGATCAGTTGGCCGAGCCCCGCCAAGCAGATGTTTTTTATTTTTATCAACTCCATTCCCCTCTCCGCTGCCCGAGCTCGTGACGAATGTGTGCGAGTCTGAACGTTATCTAGATGGAGGCGGGCGGGCGGGGGGGGCGGGGGGGGGCGGCTCAGGTTCGCGCTTGCGCGCTGCTCCGGGAGACGGCGTCCACCTCGCCCCGCCCCTCGCGTTCTGCAGTTCCGGCTCTGCAGATTCGCTGCTCACGTTTCTTTTTCCCGTGGCTCTTTCTTCCTCTTGTTACCGGTTTCAACAACCCGCGAGACGACTCTACCTGCAAATCGTTTCAATTGATTTTCTGCTTTTCTTAGTCCGCAACGGGCTCACCGCCTCTTAACGAAAGTGCGGCTGCGGACGAGCAGGCGCGCGCGAGGCTCGGGGGAGGCGCGCTCGAGCTCCCGGCGGCGACGACTACGACGACCAGGACAGCGAACGGAGGCGGCGCCTGAAGCGGCGGCGGAGCCCATGCCCCGGGACGGCGGGCGGGCCCGGAGAGACAAGCCCGGGGCCCGGGACATGTCCCCGGGGCCCCCGTGAGGAGGCGGCGGCGGCGGCGGCGATGGAGATCCCGCCGCAGGAGGCGCCGCCCGGGCCGGGCGCGGACGGCGACGCCGAGGAGGCCCCCGCCGAGGCCCGGTCTCCCAGCCCCGCATCGTCCCCCGCCGACGGGCGCCTCAAGGCTGCGGCCAAGCGCGTCACGTTCCCCTCCGACGAGGATATCGTGTCCGGAGCGGTGGAACCCAAAGACCCCTGGAGACACGGTAGCTACCGCCGGGGCGCGGGGGCGGGCTCGTGGCGGACCAGGAGTGAGCGCAGCGCCCGGCACGGAGGTGGTGCTTAATAAGTTGCACTAATGATTTAAGAAGACTCGTCGGTTTAGAGCTGCAAAGTAGCTCTGGAAGAGTCGGGGTGGCTATTGGGTTGGGAAGGTGAAAAGTAGCCGGTCTGTGGCCCCCCCCCCCCCGCACTGACGCTGAAGGTGGTCTTTCTAGGAATTAGAACAATAAGCAATTAAAGAAAGTTTGGAGGCTTGGAGATTGGCAGGGCGGTAGTCTTCGAGTTCAAAGTCTCCGTCCTCCCCCCCTCCTCCCCCCCGAAGAAGGATAAAGAGCAGTCAGGGGAGGAAGAGTGGGTCAGCATTGGCGTGGAAAAGGCAGGTGGCGTTTGATGGGCCCATAGGGATGGAAAGAGGTTAAGTTGCTGGTCTGGAAACTTCGGGACAAGGGGTAGTCATGTTGCTCACTTTTTTGGCTGAAAGGAAGAAGAGGAATAAACCAACGTGGACTGTGGCTGTGGAGAAGTTGGTAAATCCTGGGGTTAGGAAAGGGGAATCAAAGTTAACAAATTCCCAGACAAGGAGCAGAGTTGATGGTCACTTTGGAGGTGGATAAGTTGAAGGAGGTGTTAGTTCTTGACGTTAAGAAGAAAAGTCACTGCATGCCTCCTTTTCTTCCCCCAAAAAGGGAAGCAAAACATTATCAGTCATTAAGGAGCAGAGGAACTTTCGGGCCTGGCTGTGGAAGGGAATCTTTTAAAAAAATTTTTTTTTTATTCCCAAGAAAAAGTTGGGGAATTAGAGTTGTTGGTCCTTAGAAGGTGCGTGCCTGAAGAAGTTTGCTGGCTTGAGGTGTTGGGAGAGGGAGCAAGTCTGCAGATTATAGGTCCCCTGAAGGTCAGGTTCGTGTTGAACTGAAAGGGCAGCTGGAGGAGTGTGTGTATTTTACCTGTAGGGCTAGAGTTGGAAAGTTGCTCCGTGGATGAGTGGCAGCGTTGAGTCTGTTTCTCTGCTGGAGATGTCTGTTTTGCCAGGGTGGAGCCCAAGAAGAGAGGGGTCAGAAAAGTTGGTCATTTGGCCCCAGGAAAGAGGAGGCACTGTTGCTAGTCTGAGCAGTGGAGGAATTGTGGGTTTTATGTGAGAGTAGGAAACATGGTTATTGGAAGCTGAGCACATAGGTAGCCTGCTGTAAATGCCAGTTTGGCGAGTTACTGTTAGACAATTTAACATGTTGGCATCGGGAGCCAGCCAAGTCTTGGGCTCTCGGCCTAAGGGTAGGGGTCCCTTTTGGCTTAGAGGACTTGGGCTGGGGAGGGGAAGAGTCTGATGGTGCCCTGGCTATAGCATGGTACCCAGTCCAGGGAGTTGAGAGTGGGAAGGGCGAAAGATCTGGATAGGCAGAGGAGGTGGTGGAGAGCAGAGGTTCCAGTTCAAATCCTGACTCCCATTTACCCACTTCATGACCTCAGGCTTCGTTATCTAACTCTTCAGAGTCTCAGTTTTCCTGACTGTGAAGTGGGTAATAATACCCCTGCCAAGGCTCTAAGAGAGGACTAAATTTGGTTGTGTATGAAATGTGATTGGCCAGGATGAGCTTTCATGAAGTCACAGTTATTGTTGGTCATTTTAGGGGTGATGTTGAATGATACTGGTCATTTTAGAAACCAGTCTAGAGGGGTCGGTTCATGTGCTTGAAGCCTGGTTGTTTTGCTTCCTGTGCTTCCAGGAGAGGGCCAGAGATGGTGGTCAGTTTGTGGGCCTGGGGCAAGGGGAAGGGAAGATGAGCAGTGTGTGGGCTGGAGGGTCATGGTGGGGGCAGGGGGAGAGTTGGTGCGGGGTGGGGCTGGGGGCAAGTTTCTGGTGTGCAGGTTCCCAGAAGAGGAACAGCTGTGTGTAACCAGCTGTTTGATTTTGAGTAAGCTGTTTTTCCTCTCTGAGCCTCCTGTTTCTCTATCTGCAAATGGAGGTGCTAATTTCTACCGCGGGGTAGTTGTGAAGATTAAATAAAATAGTCTTTGTAAATTCTGCCACAGAAATAGCAGCTGCTGTTACCCAGGCAGTGAAGGAGTTTGAGAGAAGAACCTCAAGAAAGAGGGGTCACTTGGAGTCTGGCTGGGCGGAGCTGAGAGAATGGTTGCTGATTGGTCTTCCCTGGGTAGGGGGAGGTAGTAACAACTTACAGGCTGGGCGAGTCTCTCATTTCTGGAAGTTTAAAGAGGGGACAGCAGGGACTGGTCAGGACTCACACTCCAGAGGAGCCAGTGGGTCTGGGGTAGGGAGGTGATAACACTGAGAAGTTAAGAAAGCAGTTTATGGACTGGCAGAGTTGGTCTGTCTTATGGGGTGGGGAGAGGGAGTTGAGGGCTCAGCCTGGAAGTGAAGGAGTTGGGGGTTCATGGTCCCTAAGCAGGGAAGTGGTCATGGGTGACATTGGTGAGTTTTGACAGTGGGATTTGCAGTACAGGAGATTGGAAGGCTTGTCAGTGCTGAGGAGCAGGTGGTTAGTCTCCGTGCCTAGAAGACAGTGAGTTGCTGCTTGACCTGGGACCAGGGAAGGTGGAGTCTTGCATGGCTGTAGAAGAGGAAATTTGGTACAGAAAGCCGGGCCAAGGAGGTTACCTAGTTGGGAGGCCAAAGGCTCTTCACGGGGGGCTGCAGGAGGACTCTCTTGGTCCTAGCAGTGGGGCGGGAGTTATGTTGGACTGGGTCTTTAAGCCATGGGAAAGCACAGGGGGTGTCATTTGAGCTGTGGACATAGTGGCAAGGGTGATGAAAGAGTCATTCTGGGACCTGCTGTGGTCATGTGACCCCATGGTCAAGAGTGAGGGGAGAGTTGGCGGGTCTGATTTGGGAGAGAGGTCATTCAGAAGCTGTTCTTCCATCATGGAGATAGAGAAGTTGCCTCAGCCAGAGGG